ATTTTGTCTTTGTCCACTGTGCCTGGCACAGAGCTCCTGACGGTGTCTTTTGTTATGTAAATGAGGTGAATTTTGGACCCCCACCTAGGATGGGGGCTGGTGGCCAGGAGAACCCACCCTGTGATTGAGACCTCTGGGGAGAAAAGGGCTGGAGATTGAGTTCAATCACCAATGGCCAATGATTTAATCAATCATACCTAGGTAATGAAGCCTCCACAAAAAAAAGATGGGGTTCAGAGGGTTTCCGGGTTGCTGGCCATGTGGAGATTCTGGGAGAATGGCACCCTTGGAGGGTATGGCATCTCCAAGCCGTCTTCCCATGGTTTGCCCTATGCATCTCTTCCATGTGCTGGTTCCTGAGTTGTATCCTTTTATAATAAACTGGTAATATAGTAAGTAAGTGTTTCTCTGAGTTCTGTGAGCTGCATTAGCAACTTAATAAAACCCAAGGAGGTGCTCATGGGAACCTCTGATTTGATGGGGAAGGACAGGTGACAGCCCAGACTTGTGACTGGCATCTGAAGTGGGAGCAGTCTTGTGGCACTGAGCCCTTAACCTGTGGAATCTGATGATATCTCCAGGTAGACCGTGTCAGAATTGAGCTGCATAGGCCACCCCGCTGGTGTGTTGGAGAATTGCTCGGTGAGGTGGGGAAACCACACCCGTTGTGTTGAAATTGGGTGCAGAACCCTTAGCAGTTGAGGCTGATGTGGCATGCTGGCATCAGGGGCCCAGGTTCCAGCGCCACTGCTTTGCAAACTCCAGGGATGCCCTTCACATTTCTATTTGCCATAGAATACAGTGGAAAGGGTGCCACCTGGATTTGGGCCATGTAGGGTATGCCAGACTTTTTGCTCCATTGGGTGTGGCTTCCATTCCCGAGGTCACCCTGCCTCGTGATCCAGGGTCACTGCTGGAGCTCCAGATATTACATCTGCTTTCCAACTGTCAGGGAGGAGGGACGATGAAGGCCACACCTCCTCCCTGTGTAGACACTGCTTGGAAATGACACTTACTTACACCCCATTAGCCAGACTTAATCACATGACCATATCCAATGGTAAGTAAGATTTTGCTGGATGGGTATATGCCTAGCTCAATCAGGAGCTCATAAAGGAGGGGCGTCTGGGTGGCTCAGTTGGTTAAGCATCTGCCTTTGGCTCAGGTCATGGTCCCAGGGTCCTGGGACTGAGCCCTGCATCTTCACTGGGAGTCACCCCCACCCTCCGTTGTGCTCTTGGTCTTGCTGGCTCTCACTCTTTCTCTCTCAAATAAATAAAATCTTAAAAGGGAGCTCATAGAGGAGAGTGGATACTGGGGACACCAGCAGACTCTGTGGTAAGGGGAACCCTTGTTTTCTGGGTACAGGGCTCAATTTGGCCCAGACCCCCAGGTTTGGAGAGGTGGGGGTAGGAGGCCTGTGGCCATTTGGAAGGAAGCAGAGGGCAAGGCCAGAAGTAATGCAGGGAGCTGGCCGCAGAAGAGGCCCTTTGGTGTGGTCATGTGATAGAATTATTCCCAAACCTTCAGGGGCTTGTCGAAAGCCACGGCTGGGACCCTCCAGGGAGGCGGGGAATCAGGGAATAGTTTTTCCCATGCTTGGAACAACATGGATGAGGAAGGAGACCAGGCCCTTCGGAGGTCTGAGGCCCCAAGACGTGTTGGTGGCAAAGAGCCTAAGGGGCCCACTCCTGAGGACACCCGCGTCCACACTCCGCGTCTCCCAGAAGCAGGATCCTCTCTTCTGGAAATCTGCCAGGCCTCCAGTGGGCGCTCTCCACAGACACCTCACACCCAGTGTGTCCAAAAAAGAACACCTCACTCCCTCCCCGCCTCTTCATACTCCAAGCCTGCAGTCCCCAGGCTTCAGTCTTCCCCTGTGTGTTCAGCCCAAGTCAGACACCTGGAGACAACTGGACTCCATCTCATACCCCCCAATCCAGTCACCAGGCAGCCCCTCCACCCTCTCGACCTCCTCTCCCTCTGCCTCCACTGGGCTCCTATTACCTTCTCAAGATCACCGAGGCCACATCAGGACCTGTCCCTCCTCTGCCTGCCTGCTCTAAGATCATTCTCTCTGACAGGCTCATTTTCTTACTCTCGCAGGTGGCTCAGTACACAAAATCTTACCCAGGTCCTCCGAGTGATCCGGCTCCTCTATCTGGTGGGTTGTCACTGTCCTGGGCCCCAGGGCCTTCACATGGGCTGCCAGGCCCGGTCTGCCGTGCCGGGAATGCTCCCCCACTCACTGCAGGGCGGGCACCTTGTCATCTGTTAGGTTCAGCTTAAATGCCACTTCTCCACAGAACGTAAGGTGCTGAGGCTTCAGAAAACAGTTGTGGCCATTTTTTAAAAAGTTACATTCACCAGGGGACCCAGCAATTCCACTCCTAGGAATTTATCCAAGAGAAATGAAAAAATCACCCATCCACGCCAAGGCTCACTGTGAAATGTTCAGAGCAGCTTTGTTCATAAAAGCCAAAAATCAGAAGCAACCTAGTTGTCCATCACCTGGTGAATGGATGAACAAAATGTGGTCTACCTGTACAGCTGAGTGCTAGTCAGCAGTGAAAAGGCGTGAAGCACTGCCACATGCTGGAACATGGGCCTTCACAGCCTGCTTAGTTGAAGGAAGCCAGACGAACAACATCACATATCATAGGATTCCATTTATCTGAAATTTCCATGGAAGGCCTCTCTACAGGAACAGAAAGCAGATTAGTGGTTGCCAGGAACGCTATGAACTGTGTATGCACTTAAAGACTTACTGGGTGATGAAAATGATCTAAAACTGGATTATAAAGATGGATGCACAGCATAGTCAATTTACTAAACATTGAATTGTCCCTTTGAAAAGAGTGAATTTTAGGATATATAAAATATAACTCATTAAAGCTGTCAAATAAAAAAGATATTTTAAAGAGTTGCTTCCCCAGAGCAGGACACCTGGTCCCCGTTAAATGTAGTGCTCCTCGCCTAGTCTCAGGGTCACTTGCTTTTCCATGACAACCCTTGTGTCAGGGGAAACCATACCTTTGTGAGGTGATTGGCCTCAGGCAGACCTTCTCGAGGAGGGAGACTCCATGGGGAAGGGCCTGGGTCTATTTTCTTTCAAGCAGTTTTATTGAGATATAATTTACATACCATATATTCACCCAGTTAAAGTATACAATCCAGTAGTATAATGAATTGGTATATTCACAGGTAAGTACAACTATCATAGACTCCATTGACTGTGGAGTCAATTTTAGAATGTTTTCCTCACCTCAAAAAGAAGGCCATACCCATTAGCTATCACTCACTGCCCGCTCCCCCCATCCCTCCACCTAAGCAACCACTAATCTACTTTGTCTTTAGAGATTTGCCAATTCTGGACATTTTATATAAATGGAATGACATAATATGCAGTCTTTAGTGGTTGAGCTCCTTTGCTTATTAGCATGTTTTCAAGGTTCATCCATGTAACAGTAAGAACAGCCCTTCATTCCTTTTATGGCTGAATAATATGCCATTGTACGGATACATCACATTTTGTTTATCCAGTCATTCATCAGCTGGTTGGGTTGTTCCCACCTTTTGGCCGTTATGAATAATGCTACATAAATATTTACATATATGTTTTTGTGTGGACATATATTTTCATTTCTCTTGGATATATAACTAGGGGTGGAATGGCCAGGTCATATGACAACTCTTACGTTTAACTTCTTATGCCAGACTACTTTCCCATGGGGCTGAACCATTTCCATGCCCACCAGAAGGGTTTGAGGATTCAGATCTCGCCATATTCTCCCCAAAATTTATCTGACTCTTCGACCATGGCCATCCTAGTGTCAAGTGCTAGCTCATGGTGGTTTTTTTAAAGATTTACTTGAGAGCGAATGCTCATGTGTGTGTGTGTGCGAGGGGGGAAGGGCAGAGAGCGAGAGAGAAACACAAGCAGACACCTCGCTGAGCACGGAGCCTGATGTGGGTGGGGCTCGATCTCATGGCCCTGAGATCGTGAACCTGAGATCACAACTGGAGCAGAAACCAAAAAGTCAGGCATTTAACTGATGCACCACCCAGGTGCCCCCTCTCTCATGGCTTTCATTTGCATTCCCTTATGACTAAGGGTGTCAAGCATCTTTTCCTGTGTGTATTGGCCATTTGTAGCTCTCCCTTGGGGCAATATCTATTCAGATCTTTTGCCCATTTAAAAATCAGGTTATTTTTCTTTTTACTATTGAGTCGTAAGAGTTCTTTATTCTAGATGTAAGTCCCTTATCAGATAGCTGATTTGCAAATATTTTCTATTCTTTAGGTTGTCTTTTCACTTCTTTGATAGCGTCCTCTGAAGCACACAAGGTTTTAATTTTCATCTAATTTACCTTTTTGTCACTTGTGCTTTTGGTGGCATATCTAAGAATGTGTTGCCAAATCTGAGGGTATAAAGATTTATCCCTATCTTTTCTTTCAAGAATTTTATAATTTTTTCTTTTTTTTTAAGATTTGAGAGAGGGAGGGAGGGAGGGAGAGAGAGAACATGAGCAGGGAGGAGGGGCAGAGGGAGAAGCAAACTCCCCGCTAGGCAGGGAGCTCGACTTGAGGCTCCATCCCAGGATCCCGGGATCATGATCTGAGCCGAAGGCAGACGCTTAACCCACTGAGCCACCCAGGTGCCCCTATAATTTTAGTTCTTATAGTTAAGTCTTAGAACCTTTTTGAGTTAGTTTTATGTATGGTGTAAGGTTAAGCATCCAACTTTATTCTTGGGCGTGTGGCCATCCAGTTTCCCCAGAATTATTTGTTAAAAAGACTCTTTTCCCTTTGGATGGTCTGGGCCCCCTTGTTGAAAATCAGTTGACCACTAACACATGATTTTATTTCTGGACTCTCAGTTCCATTCCATGGATCACATTATATATCTGTCCTTAAGCAGGCGCCACACTGTTGTGAATTCTTTTTTTTTTTAATTGAAGACTAATTGACATACAATATCCTACTAGCTTCAGGTGTAAATCATAGTGACTCGATATTGTTATACATTACAAAATGCTCTCCACAGTAAGTCTAGTTAACTGTCTATCACCACACAGTTGTGAATTCTGTTGCTTTTCGTCACATTGCCTGGAACACTGCCTGTTCACATTATCTGTTGGATGTTCAAAGCCCAGCCACCAAATGCCACCAGGAACACACCTGTAATTTAAAAAGTTAGGTTTATTTAGCTTGCTGCAGGCAAAGGAGAAGACACCCTACGGGAACTCCAGAGAATCTCAAAAGGAAGTTTCTGAGAGAGTCCTCAGGTTGGTGCTGAGTGATTTGAGGAGATGTTGGGAAAGCAGAGGCAGGCTGGGGGTGGGTGCTGCCAAGAAGTGGGCTGATGCAGTGGTAGGGATCTTCATTTATATCTAAGAGGTGGGAGGATTCAGTGGGACTAGAGCTGTCACTAGTGGAGAAGCACCATCACTCAAAGTGGCTGGCCCGAGTGGCCTTGTCTGTGTGTTCTTCTGAACATGGTCTTCGTTCGTCCGGGAACTCCTGGGTCTGATTGTCAGCAGGGCTGTCTTCTATTTTCTGGGAGTCAACAAATGGTCCCCTCTGCAGAAGAACTAGAGCTTCAACAGCCAACCAAACCAGACCCTGCATTTCCTATGACATCTACTCTCAAGCTGGCTTTAGGGGCCCACACAGGGACAAGGGGCTGGCGGGGAAGGTGGGAGGTGTGCACTGGCCAGAGTCTAGACCACTAACTCACCATGTGGCTTGGCCCAGTCGTTTTCCTTCCCTGGGGCTCAATTTCCTGTAATATAGGGAGATGGGATGGACAGCGCCTGGACCTCCTTCCAGTTCCTTATCCGTGATGTAGCCGTCTTCTTCTGCTATTTCAGAGAGAGGGAAATCTTCGCTGATACACATCCCTATTTCACTGCCCCCCACCCCACCACACACACACATTCTCTCTCTCTCTCCCTCTCTCCCTGCCCCCCCCCCACAGCTGACTCATCTGGCCTCAAGTCCCTATTCAGTCTTTTAGCTCAGCGGCAACCAGACAATTGGATTTTATACCTGGCAAAATTTTCTGAAATGTCTTTGGAATCCACATAGGGTTGCTAACATTTTATGCCGTCAAATAGGACATTAAAAATCACAAGGACTACTGCCTGTGGCAAGCATTGTGTCATAAGAGAAAGGATGATAGATAAAATAAAGGATCATACTCTCAAACTGCTTTCACCCCCCTCATTTCTTGGACAGTGATGGAAAGCCCTCTTGGGATGGACTATTCTCACCTGGGCTTGGGCCTGGATGCCTCATCTCCTGGCTTTGACTCATTAAAATGCAGACACCGTGGAAGAGTCAGCCTTGATTTTCCATGAGGGAGTGATGGGCTCTTGGAGGGGTTGATGGCAGGCAGATGTGGGGGTGGGAAGAGCTCGGATCTGGGCTCTGAACACCAGGGCTCTGGAAGCTGCACTGACCTAGATGGGAAGGACCCGTGTGTCCAGACGCATCTCACCACCTCCCTAGTTGTGAGACTGGAGACACAGGCCTGGGAAGAGGTGTTGAGAACTTGTGAAGCTCTGATCAAATGAAGGCTGAACTAGACGATCAGTCGTCCCTCTGGCCTTAATACCTCCCCAGCTGGCCCCTTCTATGTCCAGTCGTTTCCATCTCCAATGTTCACCCAAAGCCTGTGAGAAATACTGTGTGCGTGCGTGCGTGCGTGCGTGTGTGTGTGTGTGTGTGTGTGTGATATTCCTGTAACCTCCTTAAGTGTTTTTGTGGAAGGGAGTAGGAAGTGGAGAGTAAGTTGTCTACCCCCAGAACAATGTTGTGGGTCTGATTTTTAAACTCTTTAGGGTCACAGAATAACACATGGCATCTGTGGGTTCCCTCTGGACTGTGAAGAGCTGCATTTAAAGATGGGACCCCTCCCACACCCCAGAGCATTCTCCCAGGGCCTAGAGGTGCGCTCTGCTACTGTGCCTTTAAAAAGTACTCCTGTGTCACAGAGGAAACCAATCAGCAGGTGGGGGGAGGAGCTACTTGGGAGCCTGGCCAAGAGTCCTGCCTATAAAGAGTCTGTAGGAAGCCCCAAAAGTGACAGCCTCCTGAAGGAGCCTGAGCAAACTTGTTTAAAGGGACAGTGTCCCAGATGGGCTACTCACATGGTGTAAGAATCCAGAGCCCCCTGAACTCACCGTTGCATCCTGAATGGCGGCTGCCCCCCCTCCCCAGGATGATAATTTGCTGGGAAAGACGAGTGATTTATCTGTCTAATTGGGCTTTTATTTGCATTTTAAATCACGCTCTTTTGCTAAACTAATGGACCCCCTATTTATAGATGACTCCAACACAAAGTGACTACTAATTACTACAATTAATATCACGTTAAGGGCTTGCCAGCCAACTTCACAGCAACTTGTATCGCCTACTCATTTTCAATTAAGGCACATTGACAGGGAGAATACGTGGTTATTAAGAGCGGGCCCTGGGGTGTAATTACTGCTCACAAGGTCGTTAAGCAGCTCCCCTGCAGGGTTGGCACCTTGGTGCCTGGGGGCTGGGGCCCAGATCCGTGTCCTACCCTAGGGCCATAAAGCCTCAGTGCCCCAGGCTGCCAGGGCAGATGGGGGCCTGGCTCTGAGCTGCCTGGAGGTGGAGCAGATCATTCCAGAAGGCTTGGGCCTGGGATCCGAGAGCCAGGCAGGGAGGCTGAGGGGGACGATCCACCCTTTCTCGAAGACAGCAGTTTGTGGCAGCCGGCAGAGAGCTGACAGAACCGCAGCTTTCCTGGAGCAGCGAGTGTCTACGGAGGCCTTCTCTGGGACAGGCAGGGGGTTGGCAGCCAGGAGGCCTCCTCTGGGACAGGCAGGGGGTTGGCAACCAGGCGGTGGGACTGAGAGGGTGGGGGCCTGCGAGCCGGGGGGGGGGGGGGGGGCGGTTAGAGAATGGGCTTCAGGGCTGGGAGGAGGCCCAGGCTCCAAATGCTGGGGAATGGTCCCTTCTGACAAGGGGGAGGAGAGTTTGAAGGTGAGGAAAAGCCATGGAAGAGAAGGAAAGGCCTGGAAGGGATGCAGGAGGGGGGGGGGGGGGGATGGGAGGGCAGGGGCTGAAGTCAAGGAAAGTGAGCACCTTAAGAGGGTGCTCTAGTGGCCGACTGTCCCCTGGTTCTTCTCTACCCATCGGCAGAGGCCAACCCACCAGGGACAAGGTTCAGGCCGGTGGGAAGGCTCAGAGGCCCAAACCCAGGCCAGTCAACCTGTGGGCTCAGGCCCAGGACACCGCGGTAGGTGAGGAGAAGCCAGTCCTTCGGGCCTGTGGAGGGCCGTCCCCCTTCCGCCTTCTGGCACTTCATGTTTATAGCTCAGACATTGCCATAGTGGAGGATTCAGACCACAGAAGTCTGCAAAGACTACAGAACAGGGGCGTTTTTTCCCTCAGAGACCCGGTGGTTAACCACGTACCAGCGTACCACCATCCTGGGGCAGCCTGTCAGGGCAGTTAGAGGACGGGCTTCGGGGCTGGGAGGAGGCTGTGGTGTAGCGGCTTCTTAGCACTAGGCCCCATGTACGTATAGCATACGCAGTAGGACGGGTATATGTTTCCAGAACTGAGTTCGGCAGGGACCCAGTAGAAGCCCACTTCTAAGAAGCAAGCCATGTGGATAGTATGGGGGCCTCGGGAATGAGGTGGGATCTCTGTGCTCAACTCTAGACCCGTTGTCTTGATTTGGGAAAGATGTGTAGGTCTGAGGAGACACTCCCTCCCTGTCCCCAGCCTCAGGCCCTCACTCAACACCCCTCTCACCAGACTAGCACCCCCGACACACACCTACCGCCTCATCAGGAAGGGGCACTGGCCTTCACTGGCCAGTGGGGAGGTGAGGGAGTGCACTGGGCCTTTCGGGGGAGGACTGGGGTGGGCATGGGTGGGTAGGAAGTTCCTGCTGCCCCTGCTCTTCCAGAAGGTTCTTCCCACCGCCCTGCACTGACAAATCCCCCCGGGCTCTGTCCTCCTCTTTCTGTGCCGCCTCCATTGTCTTGTTTCTTGGCATCCTACCCTTTCTAAATCGCTTCTCGAAGCTTCCACATTCCTCCTTTGCTCTGCACGCGGTAGATGCTTCATCAGTGTTGGTGGAGAGAAAGGGAAAGGCAGGGAGAGGGGGTGGGAGGAATTACAGTTGTACGTATCGGGCTCAGGTTTGCCCGCCCGAAAATGATGGGGGGCAGAGAGGACAGATGTTTCTCTCTCACCTTAACATGGGCAATCCAGGGCTGCGTCTTGGTGGTGCCATGGTTAACCGTCGGCTCTTTCATCCTCACGACGTGGCCCCCGTCTCGTGGTCGGAGATGGCAGCCATCACTTGTCTGCCTTGCAAGGAGGGGCAGCAGGAAGGGCCAGGAAAAGGACCATGCTGGTCCCCTTGAGGTGCTTCCGGAAATCCACACGTGTCCATTGTTGGCATGTCCATTCACAGGACATGGCTGCCAAGGAGGGCTGTGGGATTGTGCAACCACTTCATTTCCCCTTCACGGCAGGGTTTTATCAGAATCGCAGGGCTGGATGTGCAGGGGCAAGAGCAGTCTGTCACACAGGGACTATGGCGCTGCCTGACAGGATGGTCAGGGCCCGTGACGGGGGGAGGGTTCCTGATCCTGGACAGCCGCTACCAGCTGCCACGCCCCACAGTCCCTTCGGCGATGCTCAGAAGCGGGGCAGACTGCAGGAGCCTGGAGGACCAGGGCCGACTTTGGCCTCCTTCCTCGGCCATCGAGACACTCCCCGCTTCTAGAGCTGGGACTCGGCATTCTCACCTGGTCCTCCGTGGAGCTGGAGAACTTGCTTCCACGGCACAGGTGTGCACAGCGGAGGCCCCAGGGCTGTCCCGACGGTGAGCAGGGAGGAGATCCTTCGATGGAGAAGAGGGGACTGGCAGGGCGACACAAAGCTAGTGCCCGGGCGGTTCAGATCCACAGAACTGAGACGAACACAAAGCAGAGGCCACAAAGGGGCAGGGCGCATTTGGAGAGAGGTTGGCAGTTTGGTGGGACTAGGAGCGTGGGCTGAGTGCGGAGCTGGGGTGGAGAGCACTTGCCGTGTGTCAGGCAACTTTCTTAGAATCGGAAATGCTTCATCACATGTTTTTTCCTCTCAGAGATCCTATGAGACACATGCTGCCCCATTTTACAGGAGAGGTTGCTGAGGCTCAGAGAGGTTAGGTATTTGCTTGAGGCCCTGAGCTGCCAAGCATGGGGCTGCCATTCATTCATTGCTGAGTCACCTGCTGGGATGTCCAGCTTAGGGGCTAAGCGACCTTGCCATGAAACCCAAGGGGGACGTGTCATGGAGGGCAACCCCAGAAGGTAGGGTAGCATACAGCCCTGCCGACCCTGGGGCTGTCTCCCCGTGAGCTGTGTCACACCTCCCCCTGCCCCACCCCTGACTCAGGCTCAGTCTCTCCCGTATTTCAGTATAACTTCACCCAGGCTCCCTTGGGCTCCCACTGATCTTCCCCCACCCCCACCTCCCTGGTAAATGAAACCTCCACCTTCTCCCACCACTCAGAGCTCAGAAGGCAGTCAGAAGAGGGAGGCAGTCTGAAGGGGGAGGCAGTCCAAAAGGGGAGGCTGTCTGAAAGGGGAGGCCCCCAGGGCTGTGCCTCTGTTCCTGGGCCTCACACAAGACAGGATTTTTCTCGGGGCAAAGAGCACGTTCAGTGGCTGTCCCTTGAACCCACCAAGCCATCTTACTTGGGAGTGGCCGGGAACTTGGTGGGCTGGGGAAATGGGGGTGGAAATGGGCTGTTGCTGCCAACCAGTGAAGAGAGGGCATATAGTAGGCACTAAATAAATGCTAAGCATTTTTCTTGTCTTTGCCATCATAACACACAGGGCCTTAGGTGCAGGGGCTCTTCTGGGGCCTCCCAAGGACCCCACGGTGCCGAGGGACTGCTCCCCACGCCGCTCCCAGGCCAGTCCGGCTGGCTTATACCGCTCTTGGGTCCATGTCCTGCCCCCCACCCACAGCCCTCAGACTTCCTTTGGTTGGCATTCGTTTTGTTCCCCCACCCTTTCGGCTGGAACATCAGCTCCAGAAAGGTGGGTGCTTGTCTGTCTTGTTCATAGATGTATTCCCGAGGCCTCAGCCACGTGGTTTTGGCCCGAAAATATTTGTTCAATAAATGAATGAGTGAATGAATGAATGAGTGAATGACTATTCTCATCCTGATTCTACTTAAAACAGCCCCGCCCCTCCCGGGGCCCCTCAAGTCTTCCAGCTTTGACCCAGCACCCTGTTTGCCATCCTGGGCTCCTTTCCTGTCTCTGCCTATGCCTGGCTCACCTCGTCAAGCCCCCTCCTCTGGGGGGCCAGCCGGGGTTCTTCCTCCCCCCACTGCTGTTCTTGTGTGGGGTTCTTCACCAAAGCCCCTTGGGGTGGTTCAAGACATAAGGGGATTTATGAAGGATGCCCCGTAGCTCTCGGGACAGGCCACCAGGCGCTGCTGAGCCAGAAGCAGCGTTCAGCCACCCTCTGGGTCCGGGCTGGCTGACCACACCCTTCTCCCCACTTGGCATCTGGGACACTGGGGCTGGATGCCAGAAACCCTACTGTGCCCCCCAAACGCTCGAAGACTCTTCATTTTCTGGAAGATGGAACTTCCCAGGCGGCCTCACAGCGGCACATCTGCTGACGGAAGCCCCGATCACTGCCTCCAGATGAGAATTCTCTGGATTCCCCTGAACCCCTAACAGGAGAACTGATCCCACTCTCACCCTAGAGGGGAAGGCGTCTGTGACAGGTCCCTGCATGGGAGGGTGTGGTCTGCACCAAAGCCCATTCTGATGGAGGCAGGGTTGCGCCCCTTCTGCATCCTTTAGGAACAGTCTGAAAGGCCCAAAGGTGCTGCCCCCCCTGCTACCCTCAGAATCTTGTAATCTGAGTCTCTCTACAGGGGAGCTGGGCCCCTGGGGGTGCCGGGAGCAGGAGGGAGGCTGGGGTCAAGAGAGTGGGATGGGATGGGTGGGAGCGGGGGAGGGAGATCCCTGGGAACTCTCCCAGGTGCCCACCCAAGGCTGGCTGCCTGCACTGGACGGTGGCCCAAAGGAAAGCAAAGACCCACTTGTACATCCCTCGTCCTTTACTTGTCTCCCTGGTGGACAGTGGTGGGAAGGTTTCGTCCCGGCTGCTGGCCTCGGCCAGGGGGCAGCAGCGGGTCCCAAGCCACAACTCAGCGGAGCTCCTAGACCACATACCCACATTTCCATCTCTTCCCCCACGTGCTTGAACCCGGCTTCTCCAACCGCTTGTGGCCTCTTCTGCCTACAGTCGCTCCTCCCTCGCATCCCCTCCCTCACTGAAGGCCACCACCACACGCCTGGCCTCCCCAGGCTAGGAGCCACTCTGTCCAGACTGCGTCTACCCCTTTGTGGGACTTTAAGCCTTGTATGGTCTCTGCAGTCTCTCTCCATCTCTGTCACTCGGTGAGCATTGGCCCCTGTCATCCCCGCCTGCTTAACTGCCATTGTCTCCTAACTGGCGCTGGTCCCCAGCCTGGCCTGTGCCACTGGCGGGCCGAGACCTCTCTCCAGCCCGCCCGGGGTCCCCTCTCTGCTCAGTCCTCGTGGCGTGGCCCTGTGTGTCCTGGGCCTGCTGTTTCTCCAGCCATGGCTCTTCCCCGACCCTCCGGCTCACTTCCTGACTGTTCCTTATCTGTGGCATTTTGACCCACTCACTTGCTCCTTTCCGTCCTTTAGGCTTCAGCCAGGACAGCGCCACCTCCTGGAAGCTCTCCTGCCCGTTGCCTTGTCTAGACTGGGAGTCATGCCTCTTCTATGTGTTTTCCAACCTGCCGCGCTGTCCCCAACCTACACCCATTGCACCCCCGCCCACTCGGTGGTGCCAAAGGCCATATCCACCTGTTTTCTGCCGAACTGCCATAAAATCCTAATCCACTCTTCAGGACCCAGCAGGAAGGCCGGGGAAGCCAGGACTCTGCCCCCAGCATGAGGGCCTCTGGCGGGATGGAGGAGGAGATAGGGAGGAGATGCCAGGATGCAGTTCACTGGGGGGCTGGCCTGCACCCCAAGGCCCTTCTTCTTGCCTGGCCATCCTCAGTGACTGCATGTAGAGATGGCATGGGAGGTGGTTCTGGCTGATGAGACATAAGCCAAGGGGATAGGCCCCAAAGGGCCCAGTCTACCCCATCAGGGCTTCTGTCCCTTTCCTCTGGACCTGGTGCCCAGAGGAGCATTAGCATTTGGTGGGCATGAGGGTAGAGGGGACACGCTAAGGTTGGCAGAAAGATAGACAAGGTCCCGATAGCCTGGGCCCCCATCCCAGCTTGCCAACTTCCACACTTCCTCTCCCAGTGGATGTGGGCACTATGCCTGGGCCACTGGCCAAGATCCTGGGGGAGACTCCTCCTCCGCTCCTCAGATGTCCTGGCTGCCCCCTGGGGACCTGAAGGTACCTCCTTTCCCTGCCACCGTGCCCTCACCCCTAGCCAAAGAGACCCTGCTCCAGACACACTCCTGGCCCACGAGCCCGGTCAAGACATTCCCAGGCTTACAAGCTTTTATGATACTGTGTTTTAAGCCTCGGTCTGAGCTGAGGTCCCTTAGTCCTCCTTGCCCCCCTGGAGGAAAGGCCACTATATACTATATACTATACACTATATACTGCCTGATCTCAAACTCTGGTTTGTCTGGCTCCCCTATCTACCTTGGTTGTGGCTGCCAGAAACCCCCGGCCCTGCAGGCCTGTCCCCTGTTCCTGGAGGGTGGATTAGGAGACCCCAAGGAGGCACTCCGCTGACCCAGCCTCCAGGGATCATCCGGACCTCGAGACTGGCGGTGCGGATAGGGGCGGCCAGGCCCACCTGTCTGGGATCCAAGCGCAGCTGTGTGTATTTGGCTCCTCTGTCATAGACTTTGGGCCCAGAATGGTCTTGTAGGCACAGGATGCTCAGCCCAAGGCCACATGTGGGATCAGTCATTATCAGCACCTTGCTCTCTGGCTCTCAGCGCTAATGACCCAGTGAACACCTTGGAAAGGACCAGGGATGCTGGGAGCCAAGGAGCCCTCCTGACGGCAGAAGGGCCACCTCCCTTGACAACACGGTGGCTGATGGGGCAGGGCTGCGACATTTAACCAACATGACAGTTGGGCAGAGAAAATGACATTTCTTTTATTTGGTGTATAGCTTAAAAAAAAAAAAGCCTGCCCAAATGCTCAATCTGGTTCAAAGTTCAGTCCCATTCAATAACGGAGCATCTCTCCGAGGCCCCACATGGGGCCTGCTCCGGTCTTCAGGGTGGGGCTCTTTGCTCGGCCAGGGGGCAGGGACATGGCTCCTTCTGTGGCCCGAGCAGTGTTCCTGCCAGCGCTCTGGGCCAGCTGCCGCCTCCACATGGTCCAGCACAGTATTGGCGCTGGAGTGACCCTGATGCCAGGTACCTCCAACAGAATAGCCAGCCACTTCTGGGTCTTTCCTAAAGCACATGGGAACCAGGGCAGTTCAAGAAAACTCAGACTCAGTGACCCCTCAGTCTGCCAATGAAAGGTGTCCCATGAAAGGTGTCTGTGGGACACTTGCCCCTTGTTTTGGCCGTACTCTGTTAGTAATGCTCTCCTCCAGATGCTCTGGGGCTGAATCCTGGGAGAGGGGTTTCTCTTTCTCGCTTCTCCTTCCCAGAATCACCTGGGCAGGCGGGATCTGCTTTGCCCCTTCCTTTTCTATCTGGACCTCACTTAAGTAAAAATTCCGT